GTGCGGCGTAGGCGTACTGAGACCGCACGTTGGCCTCCATGTTCTCCAGCTGCCGCTTCTGCGCCGCCAGCTCCTCGGCGTGCTTGGCCCGGTACTCCTTCAGCGATACTTTGGCCGCCGGAGCGTTCTTGCCGCTGGGTTTCGGATAAGCAGCGCCATCTTGCTGTAAGGGATGCTCAGAAGCTGAGGAGGAGCTTTCCTTAGTCCGGTGAGTCTGGCCAGGTTCCAGTTTGGGTGGAGGATGCTGGGACAGCCAGTGCTCAGACTGGGACATCTCGGCACTGCTGTGCTCGCTGGGTGAGTCTGCTGCGGCCGGCAGGGACGGCCCTGCTCCGGCGGTCGTCGACATGCTCATTAACCCAGCAATGTTCATGTCCGAACTATTGTTCCGAGAAATCATGTTGAGGATCGTCTGCTCTGACAGGCTCTCATCATCGCCGTGGTCGTCGAGCTTCGACTTCTTGGCTGCGGCTTGAGAGGCCTGGAAGAAAAGCAGCGACAGGTCATTGACGACGCGGGCTCTCGTTAAACACGGATCCACTGCACCCCTACCCGTCCCTCGCGGAACACACAACCCCGCCAGCCGCAGGGCTTGGAGCCGCTGATAAACCGAGGTCTCTACAGAGTTAATTCGGAACAGATGAGCTCAAGCACCGAAGCAACATTTTGCAGACGCGCATCGTTCAGATTTCGCCCCCCACACACACGCCCTTCAGCCGCCGCCTTGGCACTGTCATACCGAAGATGCCACACAGCCTCATGCACAGAGGAAAAAAAAAAATCCCAGCCTGTGTTCTCCTGCGAGCACCCGCGCTCACGAGCGGACTCTTACCCGCCAGTTACGGATGCGTTTAAGCCGGTTGGGAGTCTTCTCAAGGATCTGCAGGAATTCATGAGTCAGTTCTGCAGAGGAGACACAAAACCGAGCAGGAGGGTCAGTGGTGGGCAGAGCAGCGCCAATCCATCAGGACAACCCCCTAATTACTGACAAATGGAGCTACTGGTGTGATGGAGCTACTCCAGGAGGGGAAATTCTGAGGACTAGGATCCCTGACCGCGTTTAAACTCGTCTCGCTGCGTGCCTTTTGCCATCTCTGTTGTACCAAAGTGGCTGCGCTGGAAACCTTGGAGGCGGTGAACTGGCCGGTGGCCGTGTCTGAACGGCAAAGCCAGGAACAGAGATGCTAAAATAACGTGAGAGCCTTTGGTGGGGGGAAACCTCGCTCCAAAACTTACCATCTAAGAGTTCCAGAGTTACAGTGCCATCAACGTATTCCCACCAGTGCTTCCCGTCCGTGGAGACTGGGATCTCCCAGTTGGACCATTTACAAGCCAGGTGGATACAGACGCAGGCCACAACGGGAGGGGTGTACTGCAGGCTGAAGGTGGTCAGGTGCAGGCTGACGTGACCAGCAGGGAGAGAGAAACAAAAATCCGTCAACTCCCAAGCTTCAACTTCAGCGCTCGCAACCGCCCACTGAACAGATGCTGAGCACGAGGTGGACACGGGGGGGAAGTTCCTGCCATTCCTCCCCCAGTACAACCCTACTGTTACGGGCGTCTCTATCCCGCTCCACCAATTTGCTTGTTCCTTGCCCGTTTCTGCTCCAGATTATTTGGGTCCGGGGGAACTTTTCTCAGCTCCAGGCTCTGCGGCTCGTGCGGAAGCAGCCAGGCACGCTGCCACCCCCACCTCTGCTGCGGGCGCTGCTCAATCCGAGAAGAAACTCAAAACACTTCCAAATGTGTGGGGATGGCATTGGAGGAGCAAACTGGCCCTCTTCAGCTTTTAGGGGTCTGGTCCTTCCTAAATTTTTTTTTTTTTTAGGAAAAGCACTGAAGCTTCGGCAGTGAATAGCACCATAGGCTGGAGTGACTCAGGAGCGCCTAAAACCAAAAACTTGTAATTCCGTGGCTTTGCAATTATTGCTGCAGGGATAAAATATGTTTCAAGGATGCATTCACCCCCACATGGCTAACACCGCCTTCCCCTGCCACTCCTTGGTGCAGGAAACCCACGCAGCGCCCTTTGGAGCTCGGGAGCACCCTCAGCACCCCACTCTCCCGGCACGCTGGGGAGGGGAGCAGGTAACACCGGAGAGGAACGACTCGCCCGAGGCCATGCCAGGGCTCCGAAGCGTTCACCTAAACCGTCTTTTCTCCCATCCTTTTACTTCTGCGAGCTCTGGCACAAAACCACAACATTTTCCACGTCCACAACTCAGTCTGTTCCAAACATTAACTCTGTGATCTGCCTGAAGCTGGTAATCTAGGAAATTAAATTTAAATTTAAAAAAAACCCATAGGACGTCCCAACACAAGGGCTGGCATCACCCTTGCTGTGAAAATCTAGTGACAAAACTACCCTGACCTCTCCAGGTGAAAAAAATGAGGGTTATTTCTTTTTTTTTTTCCCCCAAGACTGTCTGTCCACTCATGCAGAGCAGACACGACTATAATTTTCTCTCGTAACACTTCATGCCTGCATCCAACTCCCCTTTTTTTCCCGTTACACCCTAGATCAGCCTTTTCTGGGGTTCCAGCTGTGTTTGTTGACAATTTGCACAGCACCTGCTTCAGTGGAAATTCTCTTAACACCTCGGTACTAAGCAAGTAAAAATGTATATATTCATTTCAAGTCTACCTTTTTGTTTTGTTTTAAACTTTCACAGCTGTCTAACTCCCCCTAAAAGAAAGGGGTGAAGTTCCCCAGTATGGGCCTGGCGTGCACGGGCGATTTTGCAGCTGGTTTTGCCCAGCAGCTAGCAGGAGAAAGGGCTCCTGCTCTTCCTGAGGCGAACCGAGCGATCCCCGGTCGCTTGCAGGCTGACCAACGCCCCGGGGTCACCAGTAATCTCCTCCAGATGAACACCCTCTGTCAAATAGGAATCAATTGTAAAATAATAACCTGTTGGTAGCCATGAAATAGGAGGTTTGGGCCAAGTCCTTGCTGGCTGAAAGAGAAAAGGAAAAAACAGGGTGTTAGTCGGCATATCCTGACAAAGGTTATTCCGTTTTAGAGCAAGAACCACGGGCTTCTCGCCGCTGCACACAAAATAAGAGAGCCGGCACGGTTCGACTGACTCCACTGCACAGCTGGAAGGATTTTGGGAATTACTGTACGTGGGGAGCTTGGTGTGGCTCTGCAGAGCCACAGCATCGCCTCAGTCGGTTGCAACCGCCTCTGTTCTGACATTTGTTGTGGGCATGAGGGAGACCGACCACGGGCGAGCTCTCGGTCAGCCCCGGCTGAGCGCTACGCCATATTTTCACAGCTTTTCTCTATCCAGCGGAGATTACACAGAGGAGAAGCCGCCCGCATCGCTTACCTCGTACAAGCTGCGTGCACTTCACCACGTGGGTATGGGGGTGGTCGATGGTGATCTCAAAACCTGGAAGAACAGAGACAAAATGGCCGTCAGAGAGCCGGCAGCACACCCCCGCAGATCTACGAACCTCACGGGTCCTGCTCCTGGGGACAAGACCTTCTCCCCTTCCCTCCTACGGCGCCTGCGCTCTGCTCGGAGGCAGGAATAGAGGAGCCCGTTTTCCTGGAGCCAGCAGACTCCAAGTTCTCCAGTCACCAAACCCAAAGGTCACTGCTGCTGCCAGACCTCCAAGCAGCTAAATGACTTCTGCGCTTGAAAGACCTCACTGAAAACAAAACAACTATTAAGGATTTTTAAAAATAGCAGGACAAAGCCTCTTAGAGCAGCTGGGAGGAAGGAGAAGACAATGGCATCTGCTCAAAGGAATTTCTGTCACCCAAAAAGCTAAGAGGAAGCAGACGTTTTCCCTTTGAAGGAGCCTACAGCACTAAAGACAACTGAACTTAATCCCCGCTTCGGTTTCCTATTCACTTTGGGCATTATGTTTTAAAGAAAAGAAAAAAAAAAAATTCAAAATGGGTCCATGTGTGCAACAGATTTGGTTCTTCCCATGCAGAACATTCTAGAAGAACCGGGACGTTAAAAAAGGCAACTGGAGAACCCCATTGTTGCAGAACTAGGGTGACAGCTCACATCACCAGAGCTGTCCCTCTGTCCCCTCGCCACCGAGGGGTTAGTGGCATTTCCTCTGAACCAAGTCAGAAATGACAAACGCTCCTGGGCATTTCGGAGTGGAATGCTATCTACAAACTGCCTCTGAAACAGCATATATGTTAGTAAAAACGAGCTTTAACAGTATGTTTGAGAAAGGAACAGGATACCGGATCCACTGGCCGCAGCCCTACACGTAGGCTCCAGCTTCTACTTTCAAAAAAAAAAAACCCAAAACTGTTGCTGGTTTTTGGGTTGTTGAGTTTTTTGGTTGCCTTTTTTTTTTTTTAATGTTGAGCTATCTGACCAACACCTTAACTTTCAGCCCAGGTTTTGTTAGACATCTCTGACCACAGCACCGGAGCATTATTGACATCACCATGGAGAACAGCAACGGTGTCCCAGCGATACAAAACCTGCTGTGGGGGGGAAAAAACAGAGACGAGCCACACTTCCACGCTTGAATTTTCACTGAGCATTGAACCTGACACAAGTTATATCTGAAAAAACTGATGTTAAAACAAAACCAGAAGGAGTGGGTGTGAAAAATAAAGTTTGTTGCTTGGGCTCTTGCCCTCCCCCAGCCAGCTGTGCGTCTGCCCTCCAGCTGTGGAGAAGACTGCGGTTAGGCTCTCCGCCCTGCGGAACGCTCCTGGGTCTGGGATTCGTGTGGCAGCCTGTCTGCTTTGAAAAACTTACCTAGGGTCTGCAGTATTATGCTCTCTAGAATGACCAGGTCTTGGGCTTGTTGCAGGTAAGCCTGGGGTTGAGAGGAGAGGCAAGTTACTCACGACGAGGCACTCTGGATAAAGCCTGCACATTTTCTAACACCCCTTTTTGCTCAAGGGAGGCAAAAAATAGCAAAGGGGAATCTTTATGCCGATCTGCACGGGGGGAACGGGCACAGATTCCCTGCCAGAAAAGAGAAAGCAGAGTGCCGGGGTGGACCCGCTCCCGGCTGCGAGGGGCTGGGTGCGTCGGGATCCACAGTGGCCCTCTCAGTCCTGGCCCCTTGCACTGCACGGGACAGCTACACGAGAGGAATTAGAGGAATTTACAAATGCTTTTTTTTTTTTTTTTTTCCCCTCCCCCTTAAGCTTTCCTGGATAAAGCTGCCCCTTTTCAGCAGGCTGGGCTGCTCAGTTCCAGGTAAGACGGGCTGTCTTGAGAGCCGGGGAATCGGCAACATTTTTAGTACCGTGTGGGGACAGAACGGACCCAAACCGCGCACACCACCTCCTGCTCTGCCACAGGCACCCCGCAATTGCAGTGGCCAACACCCGCACCCTCCTCAGCAGCTTTTTCACGCGGACGCTGTTACACAGCACGTCCCCGTCACATTTGCAGCCGCACAGCGGAGGAGAACACCAGAGAGGTTGCCACAGAGCAGGAAAAAAAACCCTTCTGCTGTACAGAAGGCAAAAGCTCTCGGCAGCGTAAGAGCAGTCGAATTTAAAAGCTGTCACCGACCATCCTAGGACCCAGCCACTGGCTTCGAGAGCACGTGTGGCAAAACCAAGCGCTGCAGCCGCACAATTCAGGATGCGGCACGCTGCTGCCACTCCCGCTCCTCACCTCAGAGCCCGGTTCTCCGATCTCAACACTTACCTCGCTCTTGGTGTCCAGCAGAGGTTCCAGGGGATGCAGGCAGGCGTGTGCTACCTTGATGACGTGCTCCAGCTTACGAGGCTGCTCCTCCACCTTGGCTGCCAAAAACAGAGCTGCTGGAACCACTGACTGCAGAGGAAAAAAAAATATTTTTTTTTCAGTTAGTAAGTTCAAGATTAAAGCAAACAAATCTGGCTCATTCTAAAATAACTATTCCTTTAGGAAACAAACCCTGTGGAAGTCCAGCCACCACCCCAAGGGAAAAGGGTCTCTGGTCAATACCGGCTGCTACAAACCACCCTTCCCCTTTCCCAGCCCC